AGTCTCCGATGAAGTAGCAGAACCAGTGATTTTGTCATTGATATAAATTGGGGATTTCATATCATGATATAGTTGCTACAAGTATCTCACAGAAGTATTTATGTTCAACCTTGTCTTGGAATGACGAAGCCATTCTAGAGCTTGTTGTACATGCATTACATGGCGCATGCGCATTAGTAACAATGGTTTCTTTCATAGCTAGATAAAAACCTATTTTATTAAAATTAGTTTGTTTATAATACTATTTATTTTATTTTAAACATCTTTATGGGGTTCCTATGCTTCATCAAAGGGCACTATGACATAGATGAGAGTAAGAGTCATTGTCCTGGTGACTGAGAAGCTATATTAATGTGAGAAGGGCCATGCAGCTCTGGCTGAGGACTTAGCCTGTTCTGAGTTGATCTAGACTATTAGGAATTGTTTAGAACATTCGTTTTATCTGCATACCTCTTCTTTTCCGGTCTTACGAATCTCATCTCTTTCTTTAATCTACTCTTATTTTGATGTCTTTTCCTTTTTGTCCTTGGGATAAGATGTACTGGGTCTCTCTATCTCCTAATGACTGGATTCTCCTCCTTTGAGTGACTTCTTTGCCCTGTGGCCAAGTCTCTTGTCTCTTCTTTCTCTCTTACCACCTTCTTCTTCTCTGTTCCTTTTCTGTTGTCTCTCTGGGCTCTCTTGACCTAGCTAGCCATCCTTTACAGGTTCTGTGGCCCAGGCTCTGGGCACTCATAATCTACATTCAACTTTCCTTTCAGTCTTAATGTTTACTTTATTTAAAGGAGGTATTTCTGAGACACCCTTGAAAACACAGGCTGGCTACCCCAATACGTGACACAGTACACCATAACAGAAAGATCAAAGCTTTGTAAACCCAAGCCTAAATATAATTCATGGAAAGGGTGGAAGATAATCCATGAAGGCCAGGTGTCTAGGGAAGATCAGCAGTCTGCACCAGGACTTTCCTCCGAGCACAGATTCCGAGTGTAGCACGTGGAAAGCACACTGATTAGTCATGGCTAACAGGGGAGCCCTCATAAGCAGGCCTGGACCATGACTGTTCCTCCAAATTAAGAGATGAGGTTACAGCACGAAGGGGAGAGCCAATGAGAGACCTTGTGATTTCCCTGATTTAGCTCTGGACAAATACACAGGTGCACTGTGCCTTCAGCTCTGTCCTAGCCAGGGGGACATGATTATTCTGAAAAGGCAATCTCTTCCAATAAGGTACTGAATACTGAAATACTTAAGGTCTATCAATGACCTAAAGAATACAAGGAAGGAAGGAATGGAGAAAAGGGAGAGAAGAAGGAAGGAAGGGAGGAAGGGAAGAAGGAAGGAAGGAGTAGAAAGAAGGAAAGATGAGAGAAGGAGGGAGAGGAAAATAGCAAAAAAAAAAAAAAGAAAAGAAAAAGAACCCATGACACTGACCTATATTTGGAAGCATGTTACTTGGTTAAATGTTGCTGCATGGTTGAGAATGCCTTCACATAGCTTTTATAATATTTGTCTCCATTCTACTTTTAATAAAAGCCACCAAACACTCTTGAAAAAAAAAAAACATCTTAAAGTATAGTGACATTTGCACTGGACAAGTATTAACATAAAAATGTAGCTCAGAGAGCTTAGGATCAAATGAAATCATAAATTTCATAACCTTTCCTAATCTGTTCATTTATCCTCTTAAAGAATAAAATCTGCTTTATGGGGGAAGGTTCTTTTTTCATTGTTTATTCATTTATTTTTAAAGAATTATATTGTTTTTTACTATTTGGAGGAAGACTATCAGCTCATGAGAAGATTACAAATTTCATTTTCATATGAAAAGCCTGTTTCATATGCTGTATTGAGATTTACTGATTCACTGATATTTTATAAAATATATATTTACTAGTGTCACAGAAGAGCTTCTATCCTGGGCCCAAGCCATTTGTCAAACTTCACCAAAGTTATAATCTACAGAGGAAACGAATACTGTACTGAATTTCTTAGTCTTGTAGATTATTTCAAATCTAAATGTGAATTAAGATATATATTTATTTAACATAATATCCATGTGGGTTAACCTTCTCAGGCCCTACTTTGGCCTTTTTTAAAAAAAAAATTATTTCCAATTTTTCCTTCAAACTCCACAGAATCTTATCACTTGGTTTCTTTTGTTATTAAAAAATAGTCTAGGTCAGGAAATTAAAAAATTGAAAAAAGGAAAAAAAAATAGTCTATCAGATGCTCTAGATCTTAATTATATTTTATTTTAAATGTCTAACTTAAAAATTCTTACACTATGTATTACATAAGCCTATTTATTCAATATGCAGGATGAATTTTTTTTCATTTTTAATTTCCTTTGCCTCTAAGGATGTTGCTTAATAGTAACTGATATTCTAAATGCCAACAAACTTATTTACATGATTGAAAACAAACACATGCTCCAAGAATTATGCCAACAGAAGTGTTATGTGGGCCACTTGACACTACACCCCACATGAGCCACAATAAAAGAGGAAGTGGAGTTGTGGACCCTAAGACTCAAATGAGGTCAGATGAGGCTACAGCTAGCTCCACCACCTCCCCTGGATGATCTAGCAACTGGAAACCAGGATGTCACCCTTATTCAAATAAATTCTCCTTTCTTTGCAACCCCAGAGACCATTTCATAGGCTTTTGTCACAGTAGGTTTCAAAGTTCCATTATTTTTTTTTTAACTGCTATAATCCAACCAAACCAGTGTCTTCACCTCCAAGTTAACCTTTGGGGTAATCTGATTTTCTGTGGTTCTCTCTGAAGAGAGCAGCAGGTGTGGAATGTTTTCCTACTTATGTAAGAACAAGATTCATTTCTCACGACTTTTCTAGAAAGTGAATGCTTCCCTTGAGAAATTGGGGGCTCTGGGATTCCATCAGTCAACCTGGCACAGATGGCCAGCTGAGGTAGCGGAGGTAGGAAGGAAAGGGAGGAGGAGGTACCCCTGGCACACACACACTCACTCACCATGGGCATTTCTGTCACACCAGGGCCCCTCAAGAGCCAAATCTCACCTCCTCTAAGGACACACGGTTACCTCATTCTCACCTCCTCCTCCACACCAGTCATTGCCAAGGGCCGCTATCCTGGTACGTCACAGCATTAGGGATGGAAATCCTATTACAGGTGACACAAAAGCCTCTAAGTTTCCACTGTCTGCCTATAACCCTTGCTGCCCAGATGCAATTCTGAAAAACAGGCTTTCCCCCCTTCTGGCCCTGTTCCCTCCAGCTGACTTTTTCTTGGTTTGTCTCCAAGGGAAGAATAGCAGACAGGACTATGGCTTCAGAGAAAAGACATAGGGTGTTCCTAGAAACCAGAATTCCATCTCACAAGAACCCTTAGAAGTCTACAAAATTTCTAAGTGACTGGTAGAAGTTCCCTCTATGGAAGGGCTCAGTAGGGGAGGAAGTTGCAAAGAAATAGTTCTTCTCTTTCTGAGTCTCGGGTATATCTATTAGGAATTCACTGTTTTACGTCAGAATTATATCAGCTTAAAAGTTAAACTCAAGTGTCAGGAATCCAGGAGAGGTCATACCAATTCATTTCATTGCATCCAAAGGATTTGACCCTCTGATATACTACATTTTCCCTTATTTTCATAAATACCCAGTAGTGAGGCAGGACTGAGCTCTTTAGTCCTGATAGAAAGACTTTGCTAAAACGGTAGGGAATCCGTTTAGTCTTATTTAGAATCATTAAAGGGTTGCATAGTTGGTTACTTTTTGTTGATTTGAAGGCTCATCAATATTTTGATGCAATTCTTTGCAAAAAAAAAAAAAAGGCATATTTGTGGTGGCTTCTCCATTACATGGTACTGACTTTTTCCCATTACACTGATTAAAAAAGCATTTGTGGAAAAATGAGCAAAACAGTCTTTTAAAAAAATAGACAAGACTTCTTCCCTAATTAATTTTTAAAATGCTGAAAACCAGAAGGAGTGAACATAATCTATTTACAGATAAACACAGTTTGTTTGTCTAAGAGTCAAAAGACAGTGGCTCTAGCATTAGTAATGCTACTGATACACTGAGTGGCCTGCACAGACTCTTCTCCTTGAGCCTGCATTGGGAGGGATGCTGACTGAGATCCCCTTTAGCTCTAACATTCTGTGATTCAATCTCCAGAAAGGCCCTCATATGCAGAATACAGTTGCTACCTAAAACTGCCTCTGGTTTTTGACCACAAAGCAAATCTCTGTTCACATTTAAATACCCCTCTCCATTTCTCCTTTCATTTAAAAAGGGAATGTCTGCTAAAGATTCAGAAGAGAATCTCAACTCCAGTAGTCAATTACCAAAATCAGCTTTTAGTACTAGCATCCTATCCTACCGTTGTGTACCCCAAGAGACCCTGAGGCAGGTGATGTGCAAGGTCAGTCTCCCCATACTTTAACCACAGGGGCTCACAGGTAAGGACTGGCACTTGTAGTATATATTGGGGTTTGGAGAAAAAGGGAAGGGGCCTCATGCTTTCTTGTGGACAGTCCAAATAGGATGGGAAGAATGGGAAACAGCCAGGGTTTTCTGCCTACAAGAGGAAGCAAACCCACCATTTGCTAGCTAAATGACAGTGAACAAATAATGTAATTTCTCTGTAGCTGGGTTTTCCTAACCATAAAATGGTAAAAATAACCTTCATAGTTTCTGTACCAGTTAAAACTAATACAAGGACATAAAATATCTAGGATAATGCTTGGCACATAGTATAAACTCAATAAATACTAAGCAACATTGATTCTAATTACTACTAGTCTCCCCAGAATAGCTTGACAACCTGAAAAAAAAAAACCCACCTAGATGTGGAATTGGAGCCTTCCCTTAAATTCCCAAGAGATATATTCTAATCTGTTTTTCTGCAAAGAAAGGAGCCAGAACACAAATCCAGGTAACAAGCACCCAGAAAGAAACAGGCCTTGGGGTGGCAGAAACAAAGTGATGTGGAATGAGGGGTTTAAAAGTCTGGGATCCTACCTCAGGTATCCAGGTAAATCAGAAGAAGCCAACGTTATCACCAGCCAGCCCAGGCCTGTGAGGGTGTGGTCTTTGTGCCCAGGAACTGCATGCACCAGGAGCCTGCGCGGAGGGAATCCCTTTTCCCGCTCCTTCAGGCTCTGGAGCTTGCTACAGAGAGGCAGGGAGCTAGTTGCTCCAGGGGTGCCCTGGAACGCAAATGACCGACACCAACACCGGGATTCCTCCCGGGAGCCCGGATGAGTCGAAATCTCTTCTGGAAGGATCTGACCAAAGGGCCCAGAAAAGGGACTCAGCCTAAATTCTGCTTTCTCTCAGCTGCTACAGGAGAAAAAGCTAAGTCTACAGGGTAAGGTAGAGAAGACTGTGCTCCTAAAAGGTTGCACGTGAGAGTCTGGACAGGGAGAACCTGAAAGTTGCACGCGGCCCCAGATCTGCACAGCCTCCAAAAGCTTTCCTTATAGAATCAGTAGAAACCAGAGACCTGACTCTCTGGCAAAGGCACCGCTTGGAGAGGGGCGTGCACCTCTTGAGGGAGAGAAGGGTTAAGGGAGGTGCTTCCCAGCCTTTACATCCCAGTGTGTTCCCCACCTGGAAAAGAGGGACTTGGGGGGGGGAGGAGGCTAAAGAAGATAATGCTGCCTCTTCTTTGCAACAACAGACAAGATCCCCTCCCGCAATTAGTCTTGCACACCAGATTGTTGAAGTGCAAAGAAGAGTCTTGCCTTCCTGAATCCACCAAAGCAACTGAACCAACCAGAGAAATCTACCTGGGGGCTGCGATTTGCGTAGACCCACCTCTGCCCGGGCCTGGAGTCTGGGAATTGGGGCTCCCCTCATCCGATGATCACACCCCTCGCTCTGCGTTTCCCCACACGCCCTCCAGCTCTGCGCTCCGGATCTTCCCAGGGGCAGCACAGGGCTCCCCCACTCCCTTGCTCCGCCCAGGTGCGATTTGTGGAGCAGCCGGGAGAAAGAAGGTGTCTCCCACTGCAGCCTCCGCCCCTGAGCTGTCCTCCAACCGGTTCGGACCCCTGCCTACTTACTAAGCATTGGGGACTCCCACTCCCTACCTCCCGCACACGCAGCTCCAACTAAAGGCCAGGAGTCCCCTTCTCACCCTGGAACTGTGGAGACATCCTGGACGCCCATGTGCTGGCAGGGAAGGTGGGCGTGGGTCTACCAACCCGGCTGCGGAGATGAAGGGGTGTAAAAGCAAGCGGGTGCTGGAGAAGGGAGGAGACTGTGGTCCTCTTAGAGCCTGGAAAAGCATCCCCGGTTCAAGATCTGACCATTCAGTCACCGCCCAAGATGCCATCGCATTCAGATTACAGCGGGGAGGTTTGTTTGTTCCTGGGGAGGGAGATCGCTCCTCCCCAGGAACCCGGCAGTCTGCCTCCCCAAATCCCCCCCCCCAGCCCTGGAATTCTAGGCTCTGTTCCACCTCTGCGCACCCCCGCCCCCAGGTATCCAACCCCTCCCCCATCTGTATTTACACACCAGGGTCAGCAGCACCCCCTCTCCAGGACTTAAACGTCTTTCCCCCTCCTCCAATGACCACTCAGGGATAGCCCCTTGCCTACATTACCAGAGCCATTTCATCCCCTTCACCCTTGGGCAGTCCTACTCCCCCCACCGCCTCCAGCTTCCTCCTGCGCCCCCACCAGCAAATTTTTCCTCCCGGAATCACTTACTTCACCCACCCAGATCTGCACTTGCAGTTCCCACGGTGCACAACCAAAAGCCACTCCAAGGATTTTATTACCGAGTTGGGGGTGGCGTGCGCAAGGGAGGACTGACCCCCACTATGGATAGAGCTTCAGCGGTGGCCACAGCCTTCCCCCACGTCCCACCTCCGTCTGCTGCTATCTAGCTTCTATGGGCAAAATAAGCACCGATGGGTCCCAAACCCTCGCTCTGGAGCGGGAGCTGCAGGAATTGAAAAGTCGACTGGCAAGAGCTTACAGAGAGAAATGGGCACATGCATATGACAAGGGGAGCTGGGGGAAGGGCGCACGCGAGAACTAAACGTGCTATTTGCTCCGCGCGGGGTGAGCACCGCACAGAGGTGTGGAGGGTCACACAAAAGTTTGCAGACTATTTGCATGGCAGTCGGCTGCACATGAGTAAGGAGGGTCGACTCCTCATGGCCAGGCGGGTTCTCTCCAAGGGTCTGTGTCAAAGAGTCCAGTGGGGGTTGACAGAAATGGCTCAGAACTGAGGTGATAGTTCTCCTCTACTTGTTCCGGGAGGGACGGCCTAAGCACCCGTGCAGAGAGAGAATCCCGCGCTCTGCGAAAAGCAACAGGCGGCTGCACCTTACCTTGCGCCAGTCCGGGCTTGGGATGGCTGCTCCATCCTCGTGGCGCAGGGAGGAGGCGTTTGGTGTGTATGCCTAGGAGTGTTCTAGCTGCCAGAGCTGCAGTGGCCCGCCACCTCCAACGGCTGCAAGCTGGGCTGCTCACCCCTGACCTGCCCGGCCAGCCGGGCTCGGCTCCCCGGCGACCGCGGCCGCGGCGTTGATGCGCGGTGGCTGGGGCGCGGGACGCAGGCAGTGCGTGGCGCGGCTGGCGTCTTTAGGCGCCGCCACTGAGCGAGGGTGCGGCCCCGGGCGGCCGTTTGGGGCACGACTTGGCTCTCGCTGCTGCGGCGGCCGCTGCAGACCCTGCGCCGGGCTCCAGAGCCCCGCAGGAGGAGGAGACAAAGACGTGAGGGATGCAAAAAGCCACTCGCCCAAATGCAGTCGGCTCAGTCACTAGAGGGGAATCGCCTCCAGACCCTGGCTGGGGATGAGGGAGGAGGGGCGAGGCTGCTAGGGACTAGAAAAGCAGCAGGGAATGAACGTGGCAGAGTTATGCTGTCGCCTCGCCGCCAGCATTGCTCTCTCTGCTAGTTGGGGGGTCCCGAAAGGAAAGAGAAGGTGAGACTTGAGTGTTTGCTGCAGGAGTTGAGAGGAGGTAGGAATAATAGCTCCCTCCGCTGCACTCACCTCTGTCCTCACCTTGCATAGCTCCACTTGCAGGATGCTATGCTATGGCCCCATTCTTTTTCCCGTTTTTTTCTAACTACTGAGACCAAAGCTGAATTAAACTGGAAGAAGAAGCAGAACGAGGCGATGGGTCGATTATCCTCAATGGGGACAAAGCAAATGTTCAATATCAATTCTACAAATTATTTCCTACTGAGTGCCAACTACTGTGCTAGGTTTTTTTTGGGGGGGGGGTGGCGAGTGGCGGGGAAGAATACGGTAGTCCGCCGCTCTATACACACACACAACTCCGACCTCTGCTGCCCAGGAGATCCCAGGATGAATTTTCTCTGCAGTTACTGAAGTCCAAAGTTTAGGAGTTAAGGTGGGCCTTAATCCCCACCCCCAACCAATCCAGCTTCCCCAAAGGAAGAGGTGTTAGGTTTCAATTTTTCCCTTCCTCTTCCAGGGACAGCTTTGAATGTGCAGCAGAAATGGAATGTATAGCTTCCTTAAGAAGTGTGTGTGTGTGTGTGTGTGTGTGTGTGT